TTCCTATCCATTTCCATCATCTATTCCTAATTTCCTCTTCAGTTGGGAGCTGGTTTGTTCTCTCCCAGAGAAGGCTGTTGCTGATGGTATCCGGCCAATGGATGTTGAGTATCTTGCGTAGACAGCTATTTATAAATACTTGTACTTTCTTGATTGTGGTTGTTGTAGTTCACCAAGTTTCAGCTCCATACAGTAGAACTGCCTTGACGTTCGTATTGAAGATTCTCACTTTGATATTGGTTGAAAGTTGTTTTGAGTTACATATGTTCTTCAATTGTAGAAATGCGACCCTTGCTTTGCAAATCCTCGCCTTTACGTCTGCATCTGAACCTCCTTGTCCATCGACGATGCTTCCTAGGTATATGAAGGATTCTACATCTTCCAGAGTTTCACCATCAAGAGTGATTGGATTGCTGTTCTCCGCTTTGAATTTGAGGACCTTGGTTTTCCCTTTGTGTATACTGAGGCCTACTGATGCAGAGACTGCTGCTACATTGGCTGTCTTCATCTGCATCTGTTCGTGTGTACGTGATAGAAGAGCTAGGTCATCTGCGAAGTCCAAATCGTCTAATTGATTCTGAGTTGTCCATTGTATTCCGTGTTTTCCTTCAGATGTCAAGGTCTTCATAATCTTGGATAGAGGAAATTCCAAAAACACTAGAGAATTTTTAGAAGCCTGGCACTCAGGTCAATCAGCAATCAAAAAGCACATTGAAATCGATCCAATTTATCAACCAATCAGGAAAATTATGCACAAATATAGGAACAAAAATCAAACCAATGGGAGACACAACCAAAACAAAGGAGTAAACAATGACAAATTTTTACGGTCAATAAGAACCAATCAACATCGAAGTGTACAGAACAAGCTGTGAAACGCATATGAAGAAATTCGAACACTTCACTTCTATCTGAAGTTTGTACTGATGATGTCGTTCAGAAGAACGATTAAAACTCCACGACCAAACCAACCAGCTAAGAGAACAAAACTCCGTCACAGACCTATAAACATTTATTCTAAGTTCTATATTTCTGATGACTGCTTGACTAACTGACTAACTGGTTGATTAATTAATTGATTGACTGATAAATTAAAATAAAACCTGAAGTACATTGGATACTAATAATGTGTAGTAAAAGTACTTATATATATTCAACATTTAATATATGTCATTTTACAGTAAAGCAACTATTTGAATTGAACTAATCTTGTTTTTTTCTTTCTTTAATCATAAGTAATGTGTGTACTACTAATTATGATTTTGAGATGGTGGAGAAAATTTGCAGCTCAGATGGATGATTTTGATGGAGTTTTGTTCTGTGAGCTGGATGGTTTGGTATACTTTAATTGTATTGTAAATAACTAGTGCATACTTTCATTATCATTATTATTATTATTGTTTTAATAATAATAATAATAACTAATTATCATTTTGTACTCATTTAATATGTACTTTTAAATATTAGTAGATCTTTATGTAAAAAGAATAAACTATACTATACAACTGTTGCTCTCTTCAATGATCAGCTTAGAATAGGATGAGTTAAATAAAACACAAATGTCTTAAACATTCTTTTATTTTGAAAGTCAAATGCAATGCTAACTTGATACTGATGACTACAAAACTGAAATTCTTATTTCTATGATCATAGACTATTTGATTAAAGGAAAGGACAGTGAAATTAATAATCGAATCCAAAGTAACATTTACTTAAGAGATCTAACTGAAGACTTTAATAGATATTAGAAGGCAAAAAAACACTAGTTCATTATACGAATATTTGTTAATATTAGAACGAATAGCTCAATGAAAATTGGGCGTTGAGTATAAACAAATCATTATATGTGAAAATTATATTTGAAATAATCTCAGCAATTGAAATATAAAATAACTCCAACGTTTCGTCCTGCAAACTTATCTGGACTTCTTCAGGGTAATAATCAAAATGTTGACGAAACGTTGGAACTATTTTAAAATTCAAATGATGAGATGATTTCAAATATAATTTTCACATAAAATCACTAGTCCATTAATTGAGAATGCGATTACATATTATTGAGAAATAAACTTTATCATTTCATATACAGAATATCCAACCAAACTAGTAGGAGTAAGAGTAACTACTTAATTAATCAGGAATCGAGTAAATAATTATCCAAATTTTACCAATACAATGTATTTTTAAACAATTAAGATTTCAGTTGAGATCATGAATGGATCAATATTAGACCACCATTGATCCATTCATGATCTCAATTAAAACCTAACAATCTCCACAACCCTATTCTGATAATTATCATGTGCTTACTGATGACTGTCTTCAAGATAGATTTCCTGGAGTTCTAGTGAGAAGCCGTAAACAGAAGAGTTCAATCGTGTTTTGTGTGAGGCATTTACCTACTGAAGACAATGAAGGATGGTCGCGTAATTTTGTGGATTGGTTGGAATTAGACACTAACACCGTCTAGAGATTAAGCGTCCGTGTGCGAGACCGAAGGTTCTGGGTCCAAATCCCATGTGCGGGATCGTAGATATGGATTGCTAAGGAGTCTCAAACTAGGATGAAACGAGCGTCTAGTACTTCCAGGTTTTCACTGGTTAAGGTTACCTTAATCATGATTAATGTGTACCAGCTGTACTCGCGGTTTCTTCTACGGATCTACGACTCAACCTGTAAGCATAATTTTCGGATGTTCTACAACCATTAGTCTCTTGACTCTTACCATACTACTGTAATTACTGACTGATGATATCCCGAAAACACCCATTTTTTATTTGATCTGATGTATGAAAGAATTATCAAATGAGTATATTTTACCATAATCCTCTTGAATGAGATTTCTAAGCTCCAATCAATATTAAGTGAAAGTAAACATTGACTGAATAATCTGTTATTTGATTAGTAGTGCTACACTGCTTAATTTTATTTTAGAAAATATGAAAAAAATTCTTTGCAGGGTAATATTTTCTCAACATAAAACTATACTATAAAAGAATTATATGACAAAAAGGGTTAAAAAGTATTCAGCATAGCAAGTTTTCTATTCGATTATATCATTTAAGGAATCATATTTATATTTTCAAAAGGGGTTAGTATCAGAAGGGGTTTTGTGGATATTATAGTAATTTTAATAGTTCAGATCATGAGTCAATTGAAGCTAGACCACCATGGAAAACCTGGAGGCACTGGGTGAGCGTTTCTTTCTATTGTGGGACTCCTTAGTAGTGTGCATCCACGATCCCGCCTCGCGAGATTTGTTTATAATTAATAGGATGATATCAAATCAGAGTGATTGTAAATACTGAATATAAGAAGGTAGGTTGTGTAATAATCTAAAGATTGATTAAAAATGATACAATGAAAAATGTTTATAAGTGGGAGATAAAACCCTAATTGAAGAATATGGAAATATTGTATTAAAGAATGATACATTGTGATAATAATTAATTGGCAATTACAAAAAAAAATTAGAGTAGTATAATAATAACCAATTACTGGATTTAAAAGCAAAGATGGATAATGGCTAGCAGTCGAATCCAGGACGCGAGTTTCGTCCTATGTGGGAGTCGTCAGCTGGATGTACCTGCACCTCAGAGTTGACGTTCACTCCGGGACTTGAGCCCAGTACCATTCGCTTCGAACGCCATCACGTTATTCACTCAGCTACTGAGTGCTGATAGCCATCTCCTTGTGCAATGGGGTGAAGATTAAATCCACTTGATACTGTTTTACTTGTATCTGTAACGGTATTGGGTTCCAGTCTCGGAGTGGCCATCAACTCTGGGATGCAGGCACATCCAGCTGACAAGTGCTAAGTAGAACGAAACCCACGTCCTGGATTCCACTGCTAGCCATTATCCATCTTTGCTTAAAATGCTTGTGACTTAATGCTATATCGAGGCCATCGGTACAGGATGCACATATGCCAACATGAGACTGATCGATTGCAGTCCTAAATAACAATGGGAAGATAAACATAAAACGAAAACAAGTGTAATTACTAGATTTGTTAGATAATTATTTATACGACTGTAAGGTTTCAGTAAATGATACTGTTAGAAAGAGAATTTTCCTTAACGAAATGGTCTTTACTTTTTCATCAATGACTTAATGGATCTTTTTAATGGTTCAAAAAAGTGAATGCTTGTTTGTGAAAAACCATTGAGGTAACTTATAATGCTAATGCTAATAATAATAATAATAATAATAATAATGACAATACCAATAGTTTTACAAATCAGTATAAATTTTATATTGGTAATGGCTTTTTAAGGGCCAATACCCGACAGTCATTTTTAATAATAAACTTTTTCTATCAGCTTGACTGCTACAACTACTGATTTTCACCCACCAAGAATTGAACATCAATTTTGAAAAATCCTCTTGTTTTTTTCGAATGGTAGACAAAGAGAGGAATATGTCAACAGGCCCTGTGTTTCATTCCGAGATCTCCAGTATTTCGCACCACAACAGGTGTTAAGCCGATTATAATTCTGTATGAGCAATCACATTAAAGATTCATAATAATTCAGTTTAAACAAATCTAAAACATGATGTATAGCCATATATTCGCCATTGGAAATTAGGTGCCTCAAACATTTGAGCAGACCATAATGAGTTATCTAATTCCATGATAAAAACATTCCTACTTTAACCAATAAACTGAAAAGTTCAAAACCACTTTCTATCTGAACAGCATGTTAGATTTATCAACATTCATGTAAACAATACGGTTCAAATCAACCCTTAATTACCAAGTAGTTTACAATGAATAGTGATAGTTGAATCCATACCAAAGTAACATAAAAATTCATTTGGAAAAAAATTATGATGAACATCAAATTCATACAAAAAAAGCATTTAGATAAAAAGAAATAGGTGCAACTTATCATGATAACAAACGTACTGAAACCAATAAAGTACATTTCAGTAACTTAACGAATTAAGCCTTAACAGTATAATAAAACAATATAATTACCATCATTATTTGACAGTTTTCAATCATCTTTTTGTTTCATCCAAACAATAAAAAGTGACACTTTTTCATAGTCAAATATACACACTTCTAATAACACAATCCTATGTACAATCAAAAGGTCATTATTATTATTATTATTATTATTATTATTATTAGTAGTAGTAGTAGTAGTAGTAGTAGTAGTAGTAGTAGTAGTATTGTTAATTGTTTTTATCGTCTTTGTTTTTAGAAAAAGACAAACAATATTTAAAAAAGAGGCATCTTAAAAAAACAAAACAAGATTGTAATGAACTTATAAGGTCTACGTTTCTTATTTTTGTATATGTCTGGTGATAATTGTGTAATAATTAAATTAATTCCATCCATTATTTCTATTCATAATTCGATGAGAAAAAACAATATACGTTAATAATCAGTCTTTGATTGAGATCATGAATAAATCGATGTTAGACCATTATTGAAAACCTGGAAGTAATTGGCAGTCATTTAGTCCTATTATGGGTCTCCTCAGTAATGCATATCAACGATCACACACTCGGGATTCGAATCCAGGACCTTCGATCTCGCGCACGAACATTTGGCCTCTAGACCAGTGAGCCAGTATTGTATATCTAATTTCAACCAATCCAAGAAATTACGCGACTGTCTTCCATTGTCTGAAGTAGATATCTGTCTCATCACTGGGTGATGGCTTCTCACAGTTGAAAACATTAATAATCATGAACATACTCTTTTGTTTAAACAAAATTTCAAAACGGTTTGAATAAATAAATCGCTTTTTACAGAGAATCAAATGAATTTTGTTTAGTTATAGTTTATAAAGTTTAAAACTAAATTATACTATAGAAATTGAGTAACTCTTAAAATGAAGTTAAACTTTTTTTAGGACAACTAATGTAATGAATCTGAGAGATACTTGAAGTTTGTTTTTTATAACCAGTCAGAATAAGAATAGCAAGAGAGAATAATTTATCATTGAAGAAAAAGAGTTAATATAATGTATTCTTCACGAATAATCAATTTATCCAGTTTAATTAAAGGTTCTTCTGTCTTAAAATCGGAGTAAGGTCAGTAAAGACATTTATTCATATAGGTTCAAATGATTTACGTATATGAATCTTAATAAAAATGATGATAGTTATCATGTTCTTTTTGTCTTACAATTGTATGTTTTATCAATTCCTACAACTTTCTCTCAATCACTTATAGATGAAGGTGTTTTTATTATGTTTTCAAAGCATACATCCTTGTATTATTCTAATCACTTCACTATTGCTACTTCATTTACTCCATTCAGTACAATTGCACAGGTCACATAGGTGTCTATAATTCAGTGCATAACTAGTAACGTTACACTTTTATCGAAGAAGATATAGTATCATAATCAATTTTTCTGTATAAATAAACATTAAAGTAATCTGAAAATGAACATACAGGGATTAATTACTGTTATCTGATTTCGGCATCGATGATTACACTTTTTCACATAACTCAAACCAACTAGTAATAATCTCATAAACTAATACCATATGTTTCTTGTTCAACGTGATCTCATTATCGTTTACACATTGTATCAAACTAAATATTGTCTAGCTATGCATATTGTATCCATCATACAGATTACAGTTAATAAGGCTGACTTTCTCTTCAGTAGATTTATCACAACTGCATAGTACTGTCTGCTCCCTGTTGGTACTATTTTTTTAGTTGGTTTAACTATGCTCATAACTATTTATTTTTATTATTATTTTTTTTTATTATTAGAAGCTTTATTCAACATTATATTTTTGGTACAACATAGAATTCTCAGCATAAAGTATTTCAACAAGTTTCCTTTTCTTATACCTTGATCGACTGTGACGATAAATTTTGAATGATGACCAGTTAGATGTTAAAAGTTCGGTAATCCACATTTGATCACTGTTCATTCGTTTCAATGCATATTGCCAGCCACCATGATGTCGCTGATTGTAACTTTTTGTATCCCGTATAGCGAAAGGTTGTAAACTTTTTTATAAACGCGCCTGAATAGGTTGTGCGCGCAATAGACAAAGTGATGTGCTAAAACAAACAACAAAACAGATAACTTGATGAAATATCTAGATCGGAGGAACAGGTAGCCCAGATATTCAAGCAGGCCGCCGGTTGATCCTTCCCGGGTTATAGAGGTCGCGTTTCATGTCTTCGTATAAGCAGGGTATGGTGTCAGATACTGACAGCTCTGTTGATGGCTATTTTCTGCTTGAATAGCTCGATGTTCAGTAATATAGGTTCGAATCATGGGAAGTACTGTTCAACTCAAGATTGTAGATATATATTTTTAATATGTTCCATAGAGTTAATGGACGACAGTTTCCTACAGACTATCTTCAATCGCCTAACACGTAAAATCATAATTTTCCATTTAGTCATTCTTATGCATCCTCAAGTAATATACTTAGAACTGTGAATGTAATACAAATTCTGTATTTGAAGCATTAATTACACTATACATACCTAACGTTAGTACTAACCGTTGTTCAACAAGCATTAGCGGACTTAACAAAAATCTTCTCTACACCATCTATTCTCTAAAATAAACAACCTTCATAATATGTTATATACATAACTAACTGATTACAGCTACGTAATCATTGAAAATCAAAAAGCATTCAATATACATTACATTCCACCTGGAATGAGTTCACAAATTGAACAACATCCACAAACTCCCTATATCTATTCATCACTTCATAATTATTAATTTCTTTCTTTCCTTTTTTTTGAAGCAACATCTTTACTAAGACTCTTATCATCAGGAGAGGTTTTGTGGAGATTATAGTAATTTCAATAGTTGAAATCATGAGTTAATTGAAGCAAGACCACCATCGAAAACCTGGAAGTACTGGATGGCCGTTTCGTTCTAGTATGGGACTCCTCAGCAGTGCGCATCCACTACCCGACCCGCGGGATTCGAATCAAGGACCTATCAGTCTCGCGCGCGAGCAATTAACCATTAGACCACTGAACCGGAATCCAACTTTAATGCCTAACTTCAATCAACTCTTATCAACAATCTCACTTGCAAATAATGAACAGTAATTTATTAAATTCCTTATTATTGAAAAAGTATTTTTTTTAAAAGTCTCTTTTAATTGTAGTACATGTAATAGGTATATTTGTTTGCAATACAAAATTACATAACTCATAGTAACAAACATCATAATTATTGAACATAGTAAATAACTAATTAACATTAAATACTAAGATCAATGTTTCAATCCATCTTTATGTTTATTTGTTTGTTTGTTTGTTTTTTTATTGTTTAATTGTATATTTACTGGATTATTTTAACCTTTTGGTGTACGCCATAATAAAAAGATATTTGGTCCATATTTAAAATGTAAAGCTTTAAATGGTTCATGTGAAAAATTCATACAATATGATCCATTTAATATAATTACTTGCCATACACGATCGTATGTTTCATCTAAATATTGTTTTAATTTATTAGATATCTCTTTAATTTCTGATTGTTTAAATTCTTTTAAATCACCCATAAGTTCACGTACATGTTCAGTTATATCATATTCAGCTTGTGGTGACATTTTTGATAGAATAATTTCAAAATCTTTTGAAGGTTTCGGTGTTGATGCAACATTTACTTTACTACGTTGAATTTTTTCTACACACCTATTTTTTAAAAAAAAAGTAAGAAAATAATATAAGTAGTATAGATAAATGAAATAAATTTTAAACAAACTATATATTACAACTTTTTAAATTATATAAATTTAATTAGAAATTGATCTACAGAGATCCTTTCGTATATTGAAGATATTCAAATGATCTTAGAGACAGGAGTTTTATGGTACACTTTCTAATCTTTGATGAATGTTTTTAACTGTAATCGAAATATATTCACATTAATGGCTACAATGAACATGTTTCTTAATGAACAATGATTAAGTAAGATTAAGCAATATTAGTGCCTTATAATCTAGGTATGATGTATTGTTTATCTACATATTAGTAAATTGATCCACACTATAAATGTGTGTTAAGATTATCAATTTCTTAAAAGTTTAATTAGAACAGTAAAAAGTAATCAAAAGTACGTCATACTCAACATATCAAATATATTTATAACTACAATGTAAATAGATTTTTAAATTTCAATGATCATACAACGATGGTATATACTTGCTACAATGATTAAGTAGTACATTTATAAAAGACGAAGGCCAAAGAACACATTATGTTGGGAAATAGAAGCAGATATGAAAAGAATGAATAACAACTGTAAAGAGCTGAAAAGGATTGCCCAGGACAGGGTTGGATGGTGAATGCTGGTGGGTGCCCTATGCTCCTCCACGAGGAGTAACAAGCGTAAGTAAGTTATGGGTAATGAATTGTAAGCTCACAATAATAAAAAAGATAATGAGAATTAATGAATTATAAGGAATTTACTAGTTGAATACGTGAATCGATTAAAGCTAGACTACCATGGAAAACCTAGAATCACTGGATGCCTATTTCGTCCTAGTATGGGATTCCCGTGAGCGGGATTGTGGGACTTTTATGAAATATACTAGAGATAATAGATCAGATTATTAAAAAATGACAACTAATAGCAAACTTATAAGCCAGTAAGTAATTCTTGGACAAATTTTAAGGATGTTTGAAAAATATAAAAGCTACGTTGAAAGTCTTCTAATTAAGACTATATATTTGATACTGAGATGGTGGAGAAGATTTGTAGCTCAGGCGGAGTTTTGTTCTCTCTAGATCAGAGAACAAAACTCCATCAAAATAATTGATACTTGTAGAATCAAATTAAACTTACATAAACTAGACTAAAACCTTATTCGTTTTTGTATCATTTCAAGACATAATATTATGGATATCAGATCATACACTTGTAATAATCGCCTAGTAGTCTTTATTAACTAGTTACAAGATACATATTTTTTGTTGTCTCTATAAAATTATAAATCTGTTACTTAAATCATTGTGTAACATGTTCGTTATAATTGAATTTGTTACATTGGAACTTAATAATTTGAAAATTAATTTTAATTAGTTTTATTAAAATGTTATTAAGTTGACTGTATGAAAAATACCATTTGAATTGATCAGTTCAATAGTTTTACATAGTACACAGTACTGTTGTTCCGAATATTAAATAAACGATTCTCTCTCACAATTGACCCATTTGAACTCCATTGGTTACTGCTTCTTACTAGAACTCCAGGAAATACCTCTTGAAGCCAGTCACTAATGAATATATGTTTAGGAGGTATATTCAAGAGGTATTTCCTAGAGTTCAATTGAGAAGCAGCAACCAGTGGAGTTCAACCGGGTCAGTTGTGAGATAGTAACTCACTGATGACAATGGTGGATGTGTCGCCCAATTTCTTGGATTAGTTAAAGTTAGATATTAACACCGTTGGATGCCGATTCAGTGGGTCAGTGGTTAAGCGTTCGCGCGCGGAACTGATAGGTCCTGGATTCGAATCCCGCGAGGCGGGATCGTGGATGCGGATGAGGAGTCGCATAATAGGATGAAACGGCCATCCAGTGCTTCCGGGTTTACCATGGTGGTCTAGCTTCAACTGACTCATGATCTCAACGATTAAAATTATTATAATCTTCACAAAACTCCTGATACTAAAAAATTCTTTGTTTGAAACGAATTTGTAAACATGAAAAACAGTTCAATTGAACATTGTGTCTATCACTATAGATATATATACTAATAGTTTAGAAATAAAAGAAAATAATGTGATCATCAAGTTAACTGTCAACACTTAGTGAACTAAATTGTTTTGTGATCGATATTTTGAGCGATCAGTCAATGGATAACAGTTGTTCTATTATTTTTACTTATCTATGTCTGTTTCACAGGAAGGTTACCTACAAAATCAAAGTAAAGCATACACCCTCAAACATTCAACCAGACACTAAGCGTTAATACAACCGAATATTGTACTATTAATCTACTCAGGTTACAGGTATTCTCTTCAAGGATTGCATAATGCTCACATCTATAATCCATTTTATGATATGAATTTACTTCTAATTTAGAAATACCCATCAATCTTAACTACTACGTTAAATAATTTTCTATCTTCTCTAAATTTCTAATTTTTTTCTCTGTTGTTTGTAACTCAATTTCATTGATTAAAATATTAGTAACGTTCTTTACAATAACAATACTAGTTGTAACTCCAAGTCGTTTATAGCTAATCATAAACCTCAAAATACAATGAATTCACTTCATTCTATAAGTCATGTTATTCTTGTTTTGTTTAAATGTATCAATTAATTAGTCTGTCTGTATAATGTTGATGAAGCGATAAGCATAAGACTTATCAATTCATAAATATCAAACATTGTTTCTATATACAGTCTACATTTTTAATTGATAGATTGATAATATAATATACAAATTTGTATATGTACAACATAATTGATGGTTTTCAGAAGTACACTAGTGAACATGTCAAATGTTTTTAAGGTATGAAGAAGTCGTAATTCATTTTGTATTATTTGTTTGAATTTTCCCATTGATATGTAGGGCTGTAACTGATCAGTTTCTTATGGGCATATGTGCGTCCTGTTCGGATTACCTCGATATTGTCTTAATTCACAAGCATTGTAAGCGAAGATGGATATTGGCTATCAGGACTCAGTAGCTAAGTGGATAACGTGAATGCCTTTGAAGCGAACGGTACTAGGTTTGATTTCTGGAATGAACATTTACAGGATGTTGTAGTTTCACATTAAGGAGTGACCTTTAGTAGGACACCCAGTGAATAGCTGTTTCATCATCATATGAGATTACTCAATAGTGTGAACTCATGCCAAATTCAGGATCTCTTACCTATACATACTCATAATAATGACAGCAACCATAGTTTGTTTGGAATAGATTTTTTCCAAATAAATATCAAATAAAAATACAACCAATGTTTTGTGAACGACTTACATTTCTGATTGATTTAGGCCTAATGCCCGACAAAATTCTTCGATTGTTATTTGATCATCTTTATCAACATCAAAACGATCGATCCATTGCTGTGGACCAAGAAATAAAATAAAGTACTAATAGATACAGGTATGATAATAAGTAATGTGACCAAGTTCACAGACATCACTGCACACTAGTGAAAAAGCTGTCTAACTTAGGTCATCTGGTACCTTCAACAACATTCAAGAATGTCCAAAAACCCCATATACTGATAGTTATTATATGTTCACGAACGACTAAATTCGAATGAAAATTTAGAGAGTCGCACTGACAAGTCAAAACTAGTGATGTTTAAAAATATCGAATGTTAAAAAGTTGACTATCAAAGACAAAGGAAGATTGTTGCGCAATATCGCGAACTATAAATTTACTGTAGGTGTAAGGTGTAAGTGAATAAATTCTGAATCAGAAGGTTTAAAGTTTGACAGCAAGTTTTCAAATAATTATAAATTGTTCCTTCAATGTTCAAAATGCAACTAATAATCAGTCTTACCGCTTTAACCTCAAAATTTTATCATTACTTATACATTTTGTGTTTAAATCTATTTTTTTTCTTTATTTTAGAGAAACTGACTTGTAATGCAAGGATTATGAACTTAAAACATTTATAATAAGTAACAATGATAATTACTAAACGCATTTCATCACTAATTACTTCCACTATTATGAATCATACATTTACTGATGATTGTCTCCAAGTAGGATTTCTTAGCATTCTGTTAGGAAGTAATGAGTTATAGAATTGTCTATGATGGAAGTCGAATAAAAATAGCAACTGATGATTATACCACATCACGAGTAACGGAACTTGAAAAAAACGTGAAAATTCGAGTCATTATATTACATTTACTTAATTTTGAAATATTAGACTTGCTATTAAAAACATAAAGATCTTTTGAATCTATCCTTTATTACGTCGTAAGTGTACAGCGCTAGGGTATCTCAAATCATTGCGAAGCAACTGTCTACTATCAGACTTTAGTTTACATGTGTTCTCTAACTAATTTTACTATGTGGTAATAACTGTTTTCATAATATTTATACAAAACACCTTGACGAATAATAAATTTCTTGAATATTTGTTTGGTGTTTCCATACTGTTTATATACTTTTCTTGATGATAACTGTTTTCTGAAAAAAAAGCGTTTCAACTATTCATTGATCTAATTAATCTACCCACAACACTTCGTTTCATCAACAAACTTTAAGACTATTCAGTCGAAAATTTGATTTTGTAATTGATATTTCATTACTGTTGACTTCTCTACATTTCCGTCATATCAAGGTATACAAACCGTCGTAACCATTGTACTATCTTGATAAATAAAACTGATCAGTTATGATTATTATTCTATTAGGAATGCCAGATGCCAGTAGTAACTGCAATTTTACTAATTTAATCATAATATTATTGACGAGTTAATCGATAATACGATGTGTATCTAACATTCGCTTGAGTTCTGAATGATATTTGATAATTTGACTTGGTATTGTTTGTTTGAATCTTTCCATTGATGTTTAAGACTGCAATTTATCAATCTCTTATAGGCATATGTGCAAACTGTGCGTATTGGCTCGATTCTGCCTTAGGTCACAAGCATTATAAGCAAAGATAGATGATGGCTTGCAGTGAAATCCAGGACGCGTGTTTCGTCCTATTTGGGACCCGTCAGCTTGATATGCATGCATCTGAGTTGATGTTCACTCCGGGACCATTTTATTTTTCTGCCTATAATTTGTAAATTTATATACTATCTAAAGGGATAGAATTAGCATCAGAAATTTGGCCTCTGGCGGTTATCAATATTATCATCTATCAAACAATATTTTGTTCATTCTACTAACATCCCATTGGTATTCGTAACCTGTAGAGGACTACAGTAAGGTGAAAGATTATCTATTAAACAGAAATTAATAACTTAGAGAAACTAACTGTTATGCAAATGAGTATATATATAAATTTTATAATTTACCTGGACCAAATTTTGATCAAGATTTTTCTTCTTACAATAATCAACTAATTCATGCCGTTCAGCAACTAGATCACCATCAGAACATATATGAAGATATGCTTTGATAAATTCTTCCAACATTCTGTTTGTTTCTCGAGAAAATATCGAATTTGAAATTTATAACTTCTTATATTCGAAAATACGTTCGCTTCAATGAAGTGCTATATATATATATGTATATACCATATATTAATCACAATTTGCATATTGTGTAGGGTTTTTTAGCGTTGGATAAAAGCGAATACCTAATAAGTCTATTTGAGGTCATTTTAAAACAGAAAATAAAGACAAATTTAGAATTTAATGTATAGGTGTTTATGTATAAGTGTATACGACGTAGTGCGTGTATGTAAATTCAATTGTTTTAGGTTTAGAAACTATGCTTTTGATAACAGAGTAACTTGGATAAACACATTTCATAAGTACACTCATTGCTTGTGCACCAATATATATAAACGTATGTGTACATTTATATACATTTCTCTGTTAGTGCAGTGTTTGATAGTATTATTTATATTTTATATTTGATCTCAACTTATACTTTGTAGTTATGCCTATTTGGGTGCTTGTGTGTGTGTGTGTGGTTGTTTATAAAATGAGACCGGCCATACACTGAAGATTAATTGATAATCAAGTTGTTAGTATTACTGATGGGGTAGTGCATCAACCTAACTGCTTACAAAACTGTACTAATCAATAAGTGGCAAAAAACACTCAGGCCACACGAAGAAAATGACTGATAGATATCAGAAGACAAAAAGTACGATTATTAGTATGGATTTATGGAGATTGTTAAATTTTTTGATTGTGATCATGAATCGATTGATGTTAGACTACTACTGGACGGCCGTATCGTTCTAGTTTGGTACTCCTCAGCAATGCGCATCCTCGATCCCATACGTGGGATTCGAATCCATCACGCAAGAATAATATTCTTGCTTTGCTTATTTGTACTATTTAAACTTGGACTAGTTTTGATTTGGTAACTTATTCTCTGAAGAAATGGCTTATATTAAGTCACGAAACATCAGAAAATCTAATTTTTCTACCCATTGAGATATTACAAATATATTTATTTATTTATTGTATTAGAAATTTGTTCAGTAGAACAAATACAATCCCAAGCTTTAAATTTCTACTTAAGCTTTTTCACGAAGGACTGTGTATTATGTGAACATAACAAAATCTTAGTTGATAAGTAATATCAAACTCCTTTTTTTCAAGGCAAATAAGAAATTATAACCTATTAATAGAATATCACGATACTAACTAATTTTTTTAATGAATTCTTTTCATTCTTTTAATAAGAATTTATACCTTGTAGAGTTATACAGACATAGAATCAGATTGTAACATAATAAGTGGATTTGATATATTACACCATTACTCAAATGAACTAACAAAAAGTCTAAAACTGGATATCCACTTAGTTCCCGATGAATATTATGCTCTCTATGAGACTTGACAGTCATTAGTTTAATGTCTGTAATGAAATTGTAGATGTGCACTAATAAACTAGTGTAGAACAGCTAATTAGTGATCCTAAGAAGAGCTCGTGTTATCTAATTTTTTCCATTACATGTTAGCGTTTTCTTTAAAAGATAGCCACAATAACAGTTTTTTTCTTATTCATATTTTCCCAATGATATTTGCTTGTATCCAACTGACTGTTGTCCTTCTTACTTTACAAATTTTATGTGTTCGAATGTCATTAGATGTTATTGTATAAACAGAGTTGTTCCATGTTGATATTTGACTTTTGTTCAAAATATAAAGCTATCGTGAACGTCCATTTTTCTCTACTTTAAAATAACTCGTGGATTATTGACGTAGAGTACTGAAACGTTCTCATTCATTGTGTTCGTATTGAAAGAATTCTGATAATTATATAATTAATAATTATTATACGATTTCAGAGATAGGTTGAAAATCATATTAAATACCTGAAATGGGTTTAGTTTGAATTTATTAGATGAGGGAATATATAACAAAGAGGAAAGACAACATTAAATCTCATCATCAGTTACTATGATGGTATCTTTTACTGTGCTAAACAATTTAAGTTATCCTATTACATAGTGAGTTTTCATGAATCAAAATATTTCATTTTAACTATTATCACAATTATTTCTATTTATCTGAGAGATGGATTTTGTGTTCATTACAAGAAATATATCAACAGATATATAAATCAGAAGGGGTTTGTGGAGATTTTAGAAATTTTCACAGATTTAAATCATGAGTCAGTTGAAGCTAAACCACCATTGAAAACCTGGAAGCACTGGACGGCCGTTTCGTCCTAGTATGGGACTCCTCAGCAGTGCGCATCCACGATCCCGCACCACGCGGGGTGTGCTTCCAAGTTTTTCATGATGGTCTAGCTTCAATTGATTCATGATCTCAACTATTGTAATTACTACAATCTCCACCAAACCCATTCTGATAATAATTAGAAATATATCTAAATCGTTATCATTTAAATGAACTATATTTGGATAAGTCGACTGATAACTCTCCAATCTATATCATACACTTATTTCTATTATAGACATAACATCTTAACGTATTCCTACATTGCAATTTTGATGCTTATACTTTAAATGTTTGAAGTAATAGAGATTAAGTTTAACTTTTAGTATGGACAATAACATTGTAATATAAGTATACTTACATAATAACTCGCAATTATAAATGAAACATACATTATAGATTTGATATAATCCAAAATATAATCAATTATATTATCATAATTAGTAATATTACTATTATTATATTCATCATTTAGAAAATTATTTTTTTTAGTATTTTGTTTGAATGAATTAAAATACATTAAACAAATCTTTTAAGTGAACTTTGTACCTTCCTCTATGTACATGATGATATAATAAATTACATTATTAAAATAGTTTAAATATTTATATTGCATTGAAAAAAATTTTATTAGGTAAATACGAATTAAAGATATACTAAATTGAGATGCTGAGTAAATCATCATCATCATCATCACTATTATTATTGTGATTATTAAACTTAATCAGAACAGTCGAAACACTGAAGAAGTACATTGTAGATAGATAGATAGATAGATAGATAGATAGATAGATAGATAGATAGATAGATAGATAGATAGATAGATAGATAGATAGATAGATAGATAGATAGATAGATAGATAGATAGATAGATAGATAGATAGATAGATAGATAGATAGATAGATAGATAGATAGATAGATAGATAGATAGATAGATAGATAGATAGATAGATAGATAGATAGATAGATAGATAGATAGATAGATAGATAGATAGATAGATAGATAGATAGATAGATAGATAGATAGATAGATAGATAGATAGATAGATAGATAGATAGATAGATAGATAGATAGATAGATAGATAGATAGATAGATAGATAGATAGATAGATAGATAGATAGATAGATAGATAGATAGATAGATAGATAGATAGATAGATAGATAGATAGATAGATAGATAGATAGATAGATAGATAGATAGATAGATAGATAGATAGATAGATAGATAGATAGATAGATAGATAGATAGATAGATAGATAGATAGATAGATAGATAGATATGGTTTGAGTTATTCAATTATTTGACCTGTAGTGACTTACTTTTACCAAGAGAAAGCGATTGATTTAGTAGAAACAATCATTATTATAACCGATTTATCAGTAATTGTTTTACTGTGCTCGTTTGTTTAACTGTGCCAAAGACAGCCATATTATTACTGCTCCTTTATCCTTCCATTGATTGTGACCTTGCACAGGTTCGGTTACGCTCTGTAACCACTCTTGTACTCCTTTGGCACGATCTCGGTATCCTTTCGATACCACGAGATCGCCAACAAATACATCTCGACTATATCCATCAACTGCCTTCTGATATTTGGCTTACGGGGGATTTTATCGGTTAACTGGCACGTAGTCTTCTTTTAGTGGTGTTCATAGTCAAACGGTACTCGACACCACGCTACAGACCGATGATAAGAATAGTTAACTATACAATGCCTAATGTTACATGAATATTAATTGATACATTAAATATCGATCATGTTAATAATTATTTCTATAGTGATTACTTATCTAAAATGATAGTTCAATGTCTCAAATATCATTACATATAATAAATAATTACATAATTATTTACAATAATTCAAAGTTTATTATTCCATTATTATGTGCCATTTTACACATTTGTACATAATAAATAATTTCCATAATTAGAAACAATTAACCTAATATATTTAAATCATTAATAGCATGTTCAGTATTTTTGGAAATAAAGTCATATATTATACCCTTAATTGTTTCGATCTAGACTAGGCATACAAAGTCATAATTAATTTTGTGAACTATGATAGACTAAGGTTTAAATTAATAAAATCAACAACTCACATATATGATTAACTCTTTTCAATTGATTGAAGTAACAAAAGGTACAGTATTTACAGTTAGTAAGTGAATTTTGTGTGAATTAATTATTGTTTCCAATGTAGGAGGCTTATAAAGACTATACAATTTATATCACTGACTTAATTTACTTCAATAACTAAACAAATATTATTGAACTTCTCAAATATGTTCATCAATAATCTTGACAAGGCTTGAACTTAAAAGCTTTAGGTAACATGAAGAGAGGATATGCCAGTGATCTAGTCACTAGAAATCCACACTTCAGTCACTACAACTTTCATGAAAGTGATTATTATTAAATAAAATGACACCCATGCACTAACGTTCCTGACTACTTGTATGAGACGTTTTTAGACAAAATATAATGCAAACTACACGAAATTCTGTACAATTTATTTATTTTCCTACATTTATATACCTGGTTCCCTCATGGTTAATCTTGTAGGCTTTAAATGAGAATGAAAATATTTCCTTTTGTCCCCTGAAAAAAATGAAATTTGACAAGCCGAAATAAGCTCTCATTATCTAATACAATAAAGTAAAATATACATTTTAACAAAAAGGATTTATGGTTAACTAGTTCTTAATACCCTGACATTATACAAGGATTATACAAGTATTAACACTGAAGCCTATGTAAAACACGT